CATTCGTGTATTTCGATCTTAAAAAACAGAATTTATATATCAGAGATGGAAAAAAACAGATTCAATTCAAATGTGAGCTTTCAGGAACAACGGCTACAGCTTATACAATATATGCTGTTGTACTCAATGAGCAGGGAGTAAAACTGCGAACTGAGAACAACAAACTGATACTCAGAGCACAAATCAGTAGCCCGTCATTACAACAATATCAAAATATTGTAAGAAATACAATATTTATCATACTTGCTATTACTACGACCTTAGGGAAATATCAAAATAGCAAAAACACAATAAGATGCTGTGTAGTATATAGACACTCCATCTAGACGATTCATTTTTAAGTATATTTCATAAAATGCGAAATTATTTAGTAAATAAACCCCGTCGGGCGGCTGGTATGTCGGCTGATAATGTCCGCGGCTGAGAGATTGTCCGAAAAATGAATATTTTGCCGAGAAGCGAACCTTCGAGGGCAAATATGAAATTTGGAGGACAAACTTTCAGCCAAGGACATTATCAGCCGACATACCAGCAGGCCGACATACCAGCAGGCCAGAACGGCGTTTGTTTATTTTATAACCCTCCCATTAATTTTGACATCGCAATTAAACTGCGCGTAAACACAGTAAAAAGGCCAGTGGTGATCTGATGGCGAATGCGCGTGATTGACGCAAGCAAGCAAGTACATTTGATTGGTTTATACATAGTTACTCTACGAACTATGGTTTATATAAGTTTATTTTCAGTGTGATTGGACCAAAACTTGACAAGCTGTCATTTGAAATTAGCTCTCATAACGTCCCTTAGATCAAAAGCTCGAAAACTTGGCGCTTTTCGTTCACATTTTCCGACGTGCTGTTCAAAAACTTGACTAGAGAGCTCCTTTATATAATGCCACTATCGCTAGACTCAAAAAAACGAGTTTGGTTTCCTTCCATGTAATTAGGAGAACGGAAAAGTTAAAACTCTTGTGTTGACTATGTTTCTTTTTCACGGAAAAAATCTGAGGACAAATATCGACGCGGACGGGGGTTATTGCGTGATAACTGTCTTGTGATCTTGCACCACGTGACGTAAAGTAACCAATAAAATCGCGCCAAAATTAATGGGTGGGTTATAAGTAACAAATATCATATACGAGATATGACTAGTTACCTTGCACATGGTGAGTGATAATCAGAAAGCAAAACTAGCAAACGCCATCCGTGATAATTCAGCGATCACATTAAGACTGGCGCATAATGCACTAAATGGTTCAGATGAATTGATGCTGACAAAGACACAGATAAAGAAGATATAGAAAAAAATGCATGATAACGAAGGTGTTTACATCAAAATATCTAAACACAAGTGAGAAAATTAAAGTAGCAAGACAAGGTGGTGCACTATTTGGCTCCCTGTCGTTGGTTTATTGCCAAAACTGGCACCAGTTGCAATGCTATTGGCTAAAAAAACTGCATAAGCACCAGCAACAGGTGCTCCAAGTGGTTTGAGTGGTGTAACAATGAAATTGATATTTGGAAAAGGCATGATTGGTGGTAGTTGTATGATTTGTCAAGCCTCCCTAAAAGCATGTTGACGCCAAGTCAGAAAGCAGACCTTGAAATGACTGTGCAAAATCAACATGAAATAAAAATAATGCCAAAAAAACATAGCGCGGTGGTCTGCTTCGAAGTGTGATTGTATCAATTGGTTACCTTTTCTTCTCAAAGCATTGACAGACCGTGGTCTGCAGGTAGATGGTGGAAGACGAAGAAGGTCAACTAATGTTTTTGTACTCCCTGCAGTAAAAAAAAGGCGGTGACCTCAAGGATCTACTTTACAGTCCTAGTTTTAATTACAATGCCGGAATGGATATGCTCAAAGTATTGAGCAAAGGTTTGCAGGGAGATCGTGGAAAAAAGCAGAAGAAGAGGAAGAAGGTCAACTAATGTTGTTGTACCTCCATCCGAAAGGGAAGATGGTGGTCTTCTGTCTCCTAGCCGATCACCACATTTTTATGGTTTTTGGGACAAAAATGTGCTCGAAACGATTTTCATATATTCACGGGATTAATACGAACCAACATAATGACCAGCTATCAGTTGGTTTGTTAGCTCAGTTGCTAGAGCACTGCACCAGTATCACAGAGGTCGTGGGTTTAAATCCCGTACAGGCCTGAATTTTTTTCAGGCCTTATTTCCACGACCACATAAGTAGTGTTCATTACTGCGAGGATTGCTCCTATACATTTCACTGATATAGAGTGTTTTAGGTGGTGCCTCATCAGACGTTTAAACAAACAAGAGAAAGATCCACAAAGACCCAAAAAAAAGCAAAAACAATAAGTCGACAAATAAGATTATTCTGGAATCTAATTTCTAGTATCTATCAAATACTGCAATAAAACGAAAGGCAGAACAATCAGCAAGGAACAACCATCAACTCGGAAGTTCGAACTATCTTGCTTTGGTGACGAGCGTTACATGAAATGAAGGTGACGTGACTAGTCACGCTTGCGGACATTATGAAATACAACACTAATTACTTCACAATTAAAGAAAATTTTTGGGAAATGTTTCAAAATTGTGAGGACAAAATGTGAAGCTTGCGATCGGTGAGAAAGATCCGACCATCAACATATGACGACACTTTTCCTCGGGAAAGTCCCTGTCATGCATCATCAACTTTCTATTTTAATGAGGCCATCAATCGCGTCAGCAGAATCAATATTCTCTCTCTTTTCTCAGAATCAAAACTTAAACAATAATAATTTTTCTCAGAATTCTTCTTCATTGTGTCATATTATTTCCTATAAATGGGTCAGTAAAATGGAAAAAGAGGTTTGAAATACATCTGATTGAACATGCGGGCCAAAACCGCATACCATACCGCTGAGTATGCGACACGCGCGCGGCCGTTGCCAAGCTAACGAACTTTTACTTTTCTAATCAGCTTGTAACACCCTTACCCGGATAAGAATTCAGAAATTTCTTTCTAGGTTGTCATCGAGTAAAGATAGCAGGACCTGGCGGAATAAACAGCAAGCCTAGAGGCTAAAGCAATGAAGAACGTCGAACCATAGTTGGCTTAGCAGTATTTATTTGGCACTTCCGGTCCTTGACCTTTCTGGCTGGCAGTGAGTTTTCGTTAAGTAGTTGACCAAGAATAGCCTCATGGGGAAAATATAAAACAACATAGTTTGTTATGTGAATATTTTAGTCTACATACTGTATGCTTTTACGCTAATAATTAAGGAGCATATCGTGACTTGTTCATCTTATGCTTAGGACTCTATTCTAATCTATAGATTCAGGCTGGATATGGCATAACATTTGTGCATTCATTATCTATTGTTTTCATTTTATCCCTTAATGCTCTCGAGTAATTTCTAAAAGATCGCGTGAAATAATGATAGCCACAGGTCAAAAAATGAACCATAGTTTCCGTGTGACTCTGATCAAAACATGACCGTACTATTTATAACTCCTCTCGCTGTGC